TGAATGAGAAACATCCTGTAACTCATATAAACTAAAAACTAAAATCCCAAAGAATCAAGTAAAATGAATGTATACCACCTCCTCGATTAACCTACAGACAGTATTTACGGTATAGCATAAAATCAAAATATAATTTCAAAGTTTAATATATTCTCAACATATTCTCAACATATTTTCATCAACATTACGACTTTTACTAACGGAGATATAAGGCATGTCCACCAGTTGGTAATAACACTTCGTTTCGAACTGTGGATACGGCAAAAAATAGTATATTGTGCAACAAGTGGGAAAAGTTCAACTTTTCTCACGAGTGTGAAAGTTTGTGGCACGAGCCTGAAGGGTGAGTGATGCAAACACACGAGTGAGAAAAGTGCTTTTCCCCACATGTTGCACACTACTTTTTCTACAACTGCACTTATTCAAAGAATCCCGAGTAATGTTGCTTAATGGTATTCATTTCATAATCTGGCACTATGCCACATTGAATAAAGAGACCAAAAAGAGTAGACGCCTCTCCTAGTAGCTCACAGTATTTCAAAAAAGCACACTATCCGAAAAAGATATTATTTCTGTATTTTTTTAGATCCCAAATTCTTAGTTTATGCCAATTCATACTTTTTTCTTGAAATTTCCAGAAACAAATCCAACTTTCGCAGCTTCTTCCATTATCTGTCTCTGGCGGTGTATTTTTCAAAATCGTCACATCTCGGTATATTTATTTATTACGAATTGTTGGAATAATATTTGATGGGAAATGCGATTTCTATCAAAAGCACTACCTTAAAGAATTTATAAAACTTCTGACAGTTGTGACAACTATTCAAAGCTGAACAGCAGCCAAGTTTTGGTCGATTTTTGTTGATTCCATATGGGAATGTATGTGGTGTTGGCAAAGTGCCGTGAGAAAAAATATTTTTCTACAAGCGTGTGTAATTCACCCTATACCCGCACGCAATTTAGTTTGGGAAGTGTCATTTTCCCGCAACAGTGAGGGAAAACAAAGATGATAAAATCGCTAATAATAGAAGTGGTTGGTGATGGAATATAAAAGTTTAAGTTTATTTGTTGCGGTATTAAGTATGTATGTTCATAATCATCCATCGAGTTGCACTATTTATTGTGAAAATTAAGAAATATTGAGAAATAAAAATTCATTATTATAAAAATCTCCTTATAGATTTGGATTGATCTGATGGGAAACGATTATTGTTGTCATGCCAATCAAACCTTAAATAAGTTTGAAATTGTCGAAGTGACAGACACACAGCGTTACTGTCATTTTCGATTCAGTGGAAATGCCACAATGTGATCAAAAACTTCTAGCTATAGGGATTCGATACAGATGCGTTATTACCAACGAAGTCCTGAGAAAGGTATGAGAAGCTATACACGCGTTCTATTGAATGGTGCAACAATAAAGAAATGAAAATACCGAATGAAGAATAGGTATTTGGCTCATTTCATAGGAGTGTCTTGAACCTAGAGACCAAACTCCTTATGGGCCTGCTGGCTTCCGCAATGAACCAACATAATGCGTCAAACTGTAAGTTCACAATAGCTATTACTAATAATTAGTAGATAGAGAATATATTTCTCTTGTCACTTGTTCCTATTTGCATGAATAATTAATAGAAACGAATCAATCAATTTCCTACGCTTGTAGAAAAAATATTGTTCCTAACTCATGCGGAAAGTGTCTTTCCCGCACTTGACTGCTTGCGAAAACTCCGCTTCGCGTCGTTCGTGTCAACGGCAGTCGCGTGCGGGAATGAATCACTTTCCGCACTTGTTGGGAAAATTTCTATTCTCACAGTATGAGGAATACATGGCTCTGAAACTAAGTTAGCTATGAGAAATGCGCTACTTTTCATGGCAGTAGTAGAAAAACTAAATTTATTTTCGCGGCTCTATAAAAACACTGGAATACAATAGGAGATAGCAGTTGTGGCAAAAAATGGCAATCAATTGTTCAACAGACATTTCAAGCGATTGATACGTTGAAGACAATATTGAATTTTGAAATTACATTTCAATTTTATGCAACCCTGGAAGTTGAGAAGCTCAAATTTCACTAGTACGTTGATTCCTCTCTCCACCAGCTTTCCAATGAAGAGTCACAAGCCACATTTGAAAAAATCATGTTGGGGTGGTTTCATCTACCCATGGAGGAATATATTCTCGAAATCGTTTGCAGAAGGTAGGTAAATACAACATTGAATCGTTGACGTATGTCGGGAATTTTTAGAACAAATATCTACCTTCCCACTTACGAATTCATTTCAGTTAAATTCTCCACACTGTAGATTAGTTAATGAAATTATTAAAACTATAGCTATCTTGCTAGAGAAAACACACTTCACGCCTTGAAAACGAGTAAATGAATGGTAGTGATGGAAAAAATCTCTTATTATAATACATACAGGGTGGCATTGCAATGAGTGCAAATAAATCAAATCCAGAGAAAGGTCGACGCCTAATTATTATCAAATGGCACCAATAAAAAATATGGTAATCAGAATAAAATTTGAGGTTAGACTCCATTTTCCACCCAAAGTTCTACACTGTAGAAATTCTGTGACTTCACCTCTGTTCAAATTTTCGTGCAGAAGGCAGAATCCCGCAGAGTTCAATCATTTAAATGGATTTAAAGTGGAGTTCTTGATTTTATTTTCGTTTCCTGTTCAATTTTCGGAATGAATTTCTCGCTAATTAGAAGAATTAGAAAAAAATATGATATCATGGGAATATTCGTTAGATTGTAGGTATCATATCGATGTGCTGAATATATGTACTTATTTACAAAACACCTCATATAGGTCGGGGAGAAAATTATTACTTGATTTTTTCATTCGTAGGTCAGGTAGGCCCAGCGACAGCTGTCGTGTATGTTCAAGTTTTTTTTTTATCGCTTGGAGCGCACGAAAGGGACAGGAGGTAGGTATTGGAATTTTTTGGAACTTTTGGAGATTATATGTTGTTGGGAATACTTCCACACAGGCAATGAATTCCAGAGCCTAGCCGTTCTATGGATGAAGGAGTCTTGATGAAGTGCTGTTCGACATCTTTCGAGGTTGACAACGAAAGGATGTGCTGACTGGGCTTGTCTAGTTCGTCTGATTGGTATTGCTAGTGAAGGGATGATAGCAGAGATTTCCGAAGAACATTTCCCGTGGAAGTATCGATAGAAAAGTGAAAGGTCGCCGAACTTTTTACGGTGTTCCAATGATGTCAAAGAGTGAGTGAGTGTGGCGTCACCCACCAGGCGAATGGCTCTTCTCTGGATGGAATCTAAGAGCATCAGCGTATGTTTTGGTGCTGAACCCCATAATATGTGGGAACAGTATTCTAGAACAGGCCGTATCTGCGATTTGTAGATCATGTGAAGCTGTGTAAAGTAGCTTTTCGCACGGAACAAGAATCCGAGTTTTTGTGAAGCAGCTTTTGCGATGGATCTGACATGATTATCCCATGAAAGAGTGTTGGTGAAGGAAATACCGAGCATAGATATATGGTGGGCTTGGTGGGGATGGTGGAGCCAGACATTACAATATCGGGCATACTGAGTTCCGCCTTTCTAGAGAAAATGCAGGCTTGAGTTTTGGTGGCGTTGAATTCAACTAGGTTGTTTGTTCCCCAGGCTGTGATTTTAGCATGATCTTCATTTACAGCTTTGACCTGCCTGCGACGTGAGTTCTTAGTTTCCTGGGAAGAAATGGGAATTCTGGAAGAGAACGCAGTATGGAGGGTACTATCATCTGCAAAGCTGTGGATGGGGCAAGTTGTTACTCCCAACAGATCATTGATATGAAGCAGGAATAATGTTGGTGCCAAAATTGATCCTTGTGGAACGCCGGAATGGGCTTATATCACAAAAAAAAAATTATTTCATAATTCGATAGAACTCAGTAACTCACCCAAACTAGCTCACCACCGCAAACCGTTTCTTGCTGTGAGCTCCCTATACGTTTTATAAAAAAATATTGAAATCCCCGATTTTTCGGACCTCTGAAAACGAGGCGATGATGTGACGTCAAAACCCTAATACTGAAACAAGACTATTCCAGACAGAAATGAATGATACATGATTTCTGACAGAGTGAATTAGCGCGAGATCACAGTTGAAAGAATTAATAAATCAGTTGCCTCAGTCTCCGTCGGGCGTTTGGTATTTTTTTTAACTATGGTGAGATGAGGTTTCTACGTCATAAGAGGGTTCGTTTTCAGAAGGTACTATTATTTGTGTCCATAAATAAAACATTCCAGTTAATTTTTCGATCGAATTATGTCGTCAATCATTAACTATGTATAAAATTATCATTATAAACATGGTTTGAGTTGAAAGTTCTACCACAGTTGAGAGAATATTACGTATATCTAATATTCTCTCAACTGTGGTTCTACCAAGGTGTACACGCCCATTGATGCCAATGGTATCAGACGATACACCGTCCACCACCACGTGAAGCGATCTGCCTGAATGAAAACTCGATAAGAGATGGCATAGCTGAGGTGGTAAGCCGTATGATGGTAGTTTGTGGAGGAGTCCTTCGTGCCAAACACGGTCGAATGCTTTCGATATGTCCAACGCGACAGCTAGAGATTCCCCGTGTTTTTTTATTGAAGATCGCCATAAATGGGTGACGTAGGCAAGTAGATCTCCAGTAGATCTTCGGTGGCGAAAGCCGTATTTTCTATCATTGATGATTCCTGAGCTCTCCAGATATTTGATAAGCTCAATATTGATGGCTCTCTCCATCACTTTAGAGATTACTGATAACAGCACTATGGGCCTGTAGTTGTTGGGCAGGTTCTTGTTTCCTTTTTTGGGGATTGGTTGGACTCTAGCTGTCTTCCAGCATGATGGAAAAATACCCGACCTGTACGAGATGGTAAACAACTTGCAGAGAATCGGTGTTAATTCTGGTGCACATTAAGTTGGGGGATAAGAGACAACGCTCACAACAAATTTCACCTATAAACCTATTTCGGTATTTCAGGAAGATTCGCCCACGAATATTCGATATTACTCAGTTTGGGAGCATGTTGCACACCACAATTTCTGTGGAAAATAGCGTGAAATCTCTCGTTGCAAAATTGGTTGGAAAACAGAGAGAAAACGAAGAACTCCAAATGGAACTTGTGGAGCTCAGAAAAGAGAGTAGAGAAAAGGATGGCAAAATCAGTTTATGCCAACAGGAAGTGAGGGTATACAAGGAAAAATGCCGAAAAAGTAAATAACAGTCGACATATTCTTTGTCATACATGGTCCCATCCTGATGCTTCTGAAAGTGAATCAATCTATTACACATTGCAGATCCAAAGATTTTTAAAAAGGCACACAGTTTCGATTTATAAATTACCATATATCTAATTATTTGAAGAAATCATCGACAAGTTATCATTTTCACTTTCAGATTCGGTGATGATATCATCCCTTCTGGAACAACGGGAAGCGTTTGTCAAGAAGAACTCTGAAGACCATAAAGAAAGGGAAGAACTGAAAGAACGCATATCGAGACTGAACGAGTCATCCAAAACTGATGAAATAACAATCAAAAATCTAAAAATGGAAAACCAAAAGATGACCGATCATTTCATGACTTCGTTGAATTTACAAAAAATATCTGCCCATAAAATATCTGGCCTGCAAAAAAATATCGAAACTCTCGAATATGAGCAAGAACTAATTTCTCATGGGTTTCGGCAGTTTGAAGTAGCCATTGAAAATTTGAATATTAGGCTTATCAATATTTCAAAATGTCACAGTAATACAGAGTACAAAATCAAAACATTGAACGATGGTGATTGGTTGGAAAATATACCAAACATGATAGTCAAATTCAAAGTATACAAGGTGAGCTATATAATATTAATATAAGTATATTCAGAAACGTTTACAAAATATACATTGGAACATACAGATAGGTATTTTGAATAAACTGGAAAAAACCTTACGAAGTGAACCTTGTAGTAAGGATGAAAAAACAAATGTATATAGATCAATAAATATTTAAAAATAATAAATTATCACAAGGGGAAAATTGTCTCATTAAGAAATGAGACATCATGTATTCAACTCATATACCTACAGTCTGTCCAAGATAAGGTTGAACAGCATGGGGATCTCGCGGAAACGGTAGGAGATACGAAGTCGTTTAAATGGGGAAAAAGTTGCGCATTCGCTCTGACCACCTGGTATTTCCATATTTACCTTTTCGTACGTGAAAAGTTACGCCCTCTTTCAATTTCGACGAAATAAATAGGAGTATGTGAACATTATGAGATTATCGTAAGCCGCATTGGCATCAAACAATAACCAGTACTTTTCGAATTATCTTGAAAACAAATCATTTCAACGAAATTTTCCATGAAACACAAAATACTCAAAAATGATTGAACACTTGAAGAAAAATAGATAGGAAGTCTTTAGCGCACGAACAAAAAAATATGGGGGTAAGTGTGTACTTGACCCCCAGTAGTTTGAATATTTGACAGTAATTTTCTGTTTTGTTTCCCTCACACGATGTTACTCTTTGTGCTGAAGTAATATACCAATTTTGAGATTGATATCTCTTTAAATACGCGAGTAAATAAAGAAAAACAGTTTTTAATTTCCAACTTTGACACTCTGTATATCGAATATGAAGGGCTGAAATGAAAAATGGTATCAAGAAACTCAAATTCTTTTTGTTCAAGAAATATATGGTTGATGGAATGACCATTGACCTCCTTTTATCAGAAATTCTCTAATGTTTTTCAGTTTTTTCGTTTTTCCCACTGAACTTAATTTGATGATGATTAGTCTATAATATGAGTATTTTTTCCAATATGAATATGCCACAGGAATACTGTAACCATTTCTGCAAATAGTGCCATTATGCATGTTTTTTAGTGTAATAAGTGAAAGGTGATGCGTGAAATCAATAATATATTTCTCTCCGTGTATACGATAGTGTCATTCAATCTAACGAATTTTATTGAACCATATCGAACATCAGTGGCAGCACCAAAGTTTTCGCATCTAGTTTGGGTGATATGCGGTTTCACCATTGCTTAATCTTAGATTGAAATTATTCAACTATTATTATGACAATAATGCAGTTGATACTTTCTGGAAAAGTATTCAATTCTTTTGTATGAATAGGATGAATAGTGATACATTCTGAAGTGAAAATGGAGAACTATTAACTTTCATTTCTCAATTCAATTAATTTGCTTTCTCATTATAATTCATGTTATTTCTGCTTTTTACAGGAAAATGTTAAAGAAAAAATTGTTGAAGCGAGCATTGATCAAATGGAAAATGTCCCAGTTATTCCCAAGTTTCAAATTAAAGGCAACCCTTTAGAAGACATATCCAGGCAAATGGAGGAAAACAGCGAGAAGATTAGGCAACTGAATGAAGAGAATGCCAAGTTGCAAATTATCATATCTAGATTTAAATGTATAAAAAAATAAATTACATTTTTTTCTAAATTCAATACATTCTTTGAGGGCCAGGTAGCCGTGCGGACAGAGTGTCTATATTCTAATTCGCATTCGCTTGCCGGTCGTGGGTTCGATTCCCATCGACTGCAGAACTTGTTCTGATGGCCCAAGAAAGTGTTTGGGATCACACATGAAAGGTAAGGCCCCCGTTATTCCTTGCTCGCACAAGATTTTCGAAGACTTCTGAGGGTTGCTCGTAAGGGGGCAACCGAATGACGGATAGAACAATTTTAGAAACATTCCAGATATAACAGAGAAGATTTAATAAAATAAGCTTATAATTATTATAGAATATTGGCCGCTGACTTTTGACATCCTAGTTCGCATAAATTCGCACATTCCATTATTTTTGCATATGTGAGGCTAAATGTCCCAATAGTATGAATTTGAGTTCAACTCGATTTTCTTATGTCGTTTAAATCTCTGTATACGTGGAAATGATGAACATTTTGAACAATGAACACATCTGTTGATCGTTTCTGTTATGTTAACTGATGCTTTGAATTACAGAAATTAAAATTTTGTCGAAATCATGATAGAAATCGATTTCCATCAGAAGTACCTTTTTTGTATTAGCGACAAAATAGCTGCACCCTTAGATCATTAACTGATGGGGGCATAAGATCTGATAAATTTCTAACGGTCTTATTCAAATCCGCTATAGCCAAACAAACCATTGTTTAAGAATGGAAATAAGCTGAACATTTTTGTAGGTAACTCTATTTCTAGCCAAACCCCACTTCTCTAAATGTCATATTTCGGCAGATATCAGTTTCCCTTCCTTCCGGTCTCTTTCCGGTAGAATTATTCACATAATTTGATGTACCCATGAATGCTTACGAGTTGAGAAAAAAAAGTTTGGGATATATCAGATATCAAGGTTCCAGGGTTGTCCGGCCCTTATTTACTGAACTATCGTGCCAAATGTTCGCATTTCAACCTTGGGTGATACCCATTATATAAAGCCAAGCTTCGGGAGATAGGACTATCGGCTTATACTGAGACTCTAATCATCCCATTAGTAAATTTGAAACCTATGTTGATACAATGGTTGTAGCAATTACTGAAACGGACGTTCAGCAATATTGCAAATGTAAATTTTCAAATGTAACGTTCCAACCATGTCAAAGTAACATGTAATATTGCTGCAACGGTACATTATCAAACTGAACGTCCGTTTCAGTAATTGCTTCAACATAGCTTTCATCTTTGCTTAGTGGGATAGGACTCCCCTCTTGCTAACACCATATCAGCCTCCCCAAAATTGCGTGGAGTATTGTGAATCCTGATATACCCACTAAACATGAAAACATAACTTAAACATAAATGTTATATTACATTGTTACTTTGTGATGTTATTCAGAGAGATGCATAATGTCACAGATACGTTGCGGGAATAGGCTTTTGTGCCTCTTTTAAATATTACAATGTAATGTTGATAGTAAATATTGTATAAATATATAAGGAATCACATAAAATCAATGTTACTTTATATCGTATATTCAATGTTACTCGATACATCTAAACAATATTGTATTTTAACATTCTAATTATTTCCTAGGAGTTTTTAGGTTATGTCTATTTTGTCTGGAATCATCAAGACAATCATCTAAATGACCTTCACAAAAGACAGAGAAGATGATCTATCCCTAAACAAGAATTGATCTTACCGTACTCCTGAAAGACTATAAGTATGATCCAGTTACATAGTGATAATTTGAGACAGATTAACTACTATCTATCTATGTATCATTTTAGTTATTATGCTTCATGAATCCAGTCATACCAAGCTTAGCTTTATGATTTCTGCATAGTCCAGTGATCTCTTACTGACTTTCTGAAAAGTAATAGGTGAATATATCCGAGTTTTTGGAAGTTTTCTGACTTATTTTAAAATTCTTCTCTATGTTCTTCTTCTAGCTACGACATATAACTCACCCATTATTTTTGTAATTCGTGAAATATGAACACAATGCCTATTCACGAATCCTTCCTACTTTTTCACATATCATGAAATGCAGATACAGATTGGTTGCATTTCTATATTCCAGCAGAACAAACCTGGAATCTAAATAGGTATCATGAGCAGTTAATATTTCCATTCGAGTCTATTTGAGTCCTAGACTTCTTTAGTAATTGACTTACTCTAATAACTAGGAATAATATCTGAAAATCAATATTATCACTGATCACACTGTTTGACCTGTTCACCATAAGAGACAACAAACAAAATGGCTGGAATGGAATTGAATTGACTTTTGACAATTGACAAGGTTACTCTGCCGTAGGAGGAAAAATATTATCCCCTTATATCCCCTATACATGTTAGCTACGTTATAAGGTGGTGAAACAAAAACGTTGCACAAATAACATAACAACTCTGTCTGAGATATATCTGATGAACCTAAAATCAACATATCACAATATTATCTAATGGTATTGATATCAATATTGATGCAACATCTCATAAACGTTTTACTTCATAATATTATGTTGGATACTTCAGAAGGACATTATGGCAATGTTATTTCAACAATATCACAAAACTTATAACTGAAAAATATTTTTGTTATGTATCATGTTTAGTGGGTACAGTGTGTGCGATTTCAACCCGCAACATCCTCCTAATTTGGAACCCGTCGACCGATTTTCAAAACCAAAAATTGCATAGTACCCTACGAGCTCAATTCAAAAATATGGACAAATCTGAAACATTCAGATTTTCAAGGCCTACTTTTGATTGTTGAATGGGTCAAAATTGCAAAAACGACTAGTAGGCAATTTTTTGTCGAAACAGTAACTAGCCCATTCGATTCAGGCATAGCTCAAATACCCTCATACGAAATAAGGACGCAAAATCTCATATAGGGTGTTAGTTATTCGATGGCAAATTTTGATATTTTTGATTTTTTTATTCATCCCCGTATCAAAATCTAGGAAATTGATATAACTGGTGAAGTATTCATTCAATGGAGAACCACATTGAATACTTGAATACGAAGTTTCATCGTTGGAACTTCTACAGGAAGATATCTCTAGGTCAACCAAAATTCAAAAAGATTTAAAGTTTTGGTTCACCATTTTGAAAACTCAAGCGAACCCTTTTCCACACACTTCATCACAGTCATCACACAGTAACTTTGAAAATCGTCTCGATTGATGAAGAACTGTCGAATATAACACGAATAGAATGACAGACAAACACTCTCCTAAGACTGCAAGATACCGATTCTGAAAGTGATCATAATAATATACCGATTTTAGCGGAATGGAAGGGAAAGTTGAGATGACAATAGAAATTGTTATGTATGGAGAATATCTCCTCGAATAAGTTACAATTATTTATACTTCCAGGAAAAAAATATGAATCATAATACCAAATTTGACAACTTCGATTTCATTAATTTTTGGTTGACCAAGAGAGATCTTCCTGTAAAAGTCACAATTATAAAACTTCGAATCTAAGTTTCCGATGTGTTCCTCCATTAATGAATACTTCACCGGTTATATCAGCTCCTTAGGTTTTGACACAGGGTGAATAAAACAATCAAATATATCAATGTTTGCCACTGAATAACTAACAGCCTTTATCAGATTTTGCGTTAAAATTTCGTAACAGGGATGTCCTAGGTACGTCCCTTTTTTGTCCCGCGGTACAAGGACATGATTGGGGCATCCAGGGGATGTCCCGCAGTGGTTGTCCAGTGGATATCCCGCCCGGTACATCCCTAGGTTATCCTATTCGTGTCCCTGGAATATCTGATATCCATTCACATCAGAGTCATTGAATTTCATCAAAGTATTAAGTTGCATTTTTTTGAAAATGTTTGTTCTTCTTCCGGAAAATAATCGTAATGAAAATAAAGAATAAAGTTTCAGAACTTCTTAAGAAATTACCATTTTTCGCAAACAGAAATCGTACATGCATAATGCCCCTCATTTTTAAACACCCAAGAATGATATAATAATAATTATACCCAAATCCTAACAAAGTTGTATTCATTCAGGTTTCTGTAGTTAAGTCCTGTTTATAAATCTGTTTAGTACATAAATCTTCAGGAGGCTCGATAGCCAATGGAGTAAGATGCGTGCCTGATAAGCCAAAGGTCCTGGGTTCAATCCGTACTCGACCTACATTTTTTTTCTTTTGTCGAAGGGATGTCCCTGGGATATCCTTGGGACGTCCTAGGGATATCCTTTCTTCGTACTAGGTACATCCCAGGGACGTACCAGAAGGACATCCCTAAGATGCCTCTTTTTGTGGAAAGCAGATGTCCCTGGGACGTCCCTAGTATGTACCATGTCTCGACACAGGATATCCCAGGGACGTCCTCGTAGAAAATGAAGGACGTCCCTGGGACGTACTCGTGTTGTTAGGGTAGGCACAGTTTCGACAAAAAATTGTCTAATAGTCGTTTTTGAAATTTTGATCCCTTCAACAAACAAAAGTAGGCCTTGAAAATCTGATTATTTCAGATTTGTCCATATTTTCGAATAGAGCTCGTTCAGTACTATATTATGGAATTTTTGTTTTTGTATATCGGTCGACGGCTTCTAAATTAGAAGGGTGTTGCTGGTTGAAATCGCACACACTGTATATCCCAGCAAACATCAAATTTCTGGACGCCTTCTGACCCACTAAATGATAGATCGGCAGATTGCTGGCCATGGCCAAGGCATGCCAAGCTGCACTGGTTCAACTTCGGCCCATTGTATGGCATATTGTAATCGTTTGCATATAATTCAGCCGACAATGGGCCAATAGTGTCAATTCGCATTATGTTTTTACCTACGTCATACAATCATCTACCCATTAAAATAGGTAGTGTAAGAATAGTTTTATACTAAACTTTCGCCTAATAAAGACCTATTATTATTATTATTATTATTATTCAATGGCATATATTGAAATTGTTTAACTATAATCTAGCAGGCACCGTGCCAATGGATTATATTTCAGTTTCAATTTAAAAATCAA